GCACAGAATAGATTCATAAAAAAATATAAAATTAAAACAAAAGTAAGATATAAATGATAATAAAATATCTAAGAAAAGAAACAGAAGTACATTTTTAAATAAAATAGGTTTAAAAAATTGAGAGACATACAATTAAAAAGAATTATAATAAAAATGTTCACTGAGGCAGTATCGATTCCTTCGCAAAAAGAATCATAAATTTATCGTGGATCTGTTTTTTGATATACTTAATTTGAATAAATTTAAACTTAAATTAAAACTTAAACTTTGAAAAAGTGAGCAACGAAGCAGGTGAAAATTTCTTTGTTTGACCATTTATTTGTTCAGAACTTATTGACAACAGCAGTATTTGGATGGTATTCTGCGTCTAAAGCGCTTGAGTTGTTTGCAACTGCAAAAGATCACAAACTAATTATCTCGCGGAAAATGGCCATGCAACCGGCAGACAGACATCCGGCCATTGGCACGGTGATCAGCCATGCAAACGCGATATTGCGAAACAGCTTCCATGACACTCCCTCGCCGCCACGCGAGGCCCATCCTACACACACTACTGACCCCACTTTACAGTGCGTCGTTGACACAGGTAGACCAATTTTACTTGCCAACAGAACTGTTACCGCGGCACCCACCTACAATCAAGAGTTTTATGTCGAGTAATAAACATAGTTCAGTCAACAAAGAGAAAGATTTAATCTATAAAATCAAACAGAAAATCGACTTTGTCAATTACATGTAGAAAAGAAATAGAGGAAAATGGAATATTATTAATCTCTTCAAGTCTATATCTATTAATATCTATTAATTCTTATTATTATCATAAAACTCGTGTTATAAATTTCTGTACTCAAGTATACAATACTTACAATAAAAATCAGTAACTAAAAGGATTTAACTCTGTTTTTTGCAGAATTCTCCGAAAATAATCAGCTCCAAATAAAAATTTGTTTACCTCTATAGTGAACCCGGTCGTAGGAGTGATGCGTGCTAGATCTTGGCCCAGCGTCTGTATCACCCTGCGTCCCCACACCCACAATCCTGTAGAAATACCTAGGCCGCCGTACAACAGTATAAGTATGGGTGTTTCGGCCTCCTGTCGGGCCGAGCCCTCCGCATATACCGCCCAAAGCCCGATTAGCGGCCCGATCGCGTTACTAACATCGTTGCCACCGTGTGCGAAGCTGCCGAACATCGCAGTGAGAACTTGCAGAAAGGCGAACAATCTCGATACTTCTGGTTGCGCTTCGTCATCTGCTATCCCGTCCATCTGCGCGTTCTCTACGTCCGCTTGGGCGACCATCAGTAATGGGCTCTCGCTGCTATTACCACGTAACTTCGGAGCCAAGTCGGCCTTAACATTGCCGTTGCTGCTGCCACAGGGAGCCTCCGAGATCACCGACAACGCCGTTGTCTCGTTGTTCTCTTGGCAGAGGCCAAAATTCGTCGCCGTCGTTGCTGCTGCCTTTTCGTCACTGCCATTCGATGCTAATAGTATTCTCGCTCTCTGCCGTGGTACCACGTACACGTACACGATTACCGCGGCAAATATACCTGCCAGTATCGCAATTATCAAGCTGATCCACCACGGCATTTTGTCCATCATTAGCACTAACAAATTTAAAAAAGACATCTTGAATAAAAAAATGAAAAATTCAAAATAATGAATTGTTACACAAGAACATTATTTTTTCATACTATTTTTTCTCCTTTTTATTTTGTTGAAAATATTTAGAATCTTGGGATAAGATAATATATTTAATTTTTTCAAAATACTTACGTTTAGGTCCGTCAAGTGCAATTGACATAATATTGACAGCAACGGTCAAACCGTATGCTATAGGAAGAATATGAAGACCTTGTTCAAACGGTTTGTTAGATTGGAGTACGATTTTTCTTATTATCCAAAAGATACTGACGGACACGATCCCGCTGAGTATGGGGCTGGCAAACCAGGACGCTGCTATGTTACCGAGAGCTATCCATTTTACCTACAACATGAATATGATTAAATTACTTCATGAGCTATGTTATGTAACGCAATCGCAACGCGTCGTGGTGCTACTAACCCCGGCGGTACCCCGGCACACGAGCGAAAATCCAACTGTAGCACCAACAATGGAATGCGTACCGGAAATTGGAAGTCGTAATGCGGTAGCCAGCAGTAGCCAGACACCGGACCCGGCTAGACTGGATAATGCTCCTAGCATCAACTCCTTTTCATGGCCTTCGTACAATGAGACGTCCAGTATACCCTTGCGCATTGTATCGGAGACCTGTAGTGGAGGAATAAATCGTCAAATGAGAACAATTTTCCAAAGTCGAACTTTCTACCGTTGCTCTATAAATTCTGGACGCAAATTTTGCCTTTAGAGGCAAAGCAAACGAGATTGAAGTTTTAAAAAATATACATTATATATTATTCCTTTGTCCTGGAGAAAAAATTCTTATATCTCATAATATTTTTAAGAATTTGTCATTTTTCAAATTTATGTAAAGACTTCTAAAAAAATATCTTAAATTTCCCTTCAGATTTTATAAAGTTTTCCTTTTAAAATTATAAAGAGAAATTTTGGAATATTTTAGAATTCACATATAAAAAAATTTTAAAAAAGATGTAGACTTTTCAGTCTTTTTGAACTGTTTGTATAAAAAAAAATCTAAAAAAATTTTTTTAGAAAAAATTTTTCTAAAAAAATTATAAAATTAAAAATATTTAAAAATTCTGAAATTTGTATAGAAATTCTGAAAAAAATTATATGAAGAATTCTAAGAAAAGTTTTTTTCGCCGGATGATTTATACAATATTATATAACATTTTTATTTATTTATAAAAATTTGACAACCAGCATTGCCTCGATACCTTGTATCCTATCAAAACGGCACCAGCGATCTCAAAGACGGTTGCCAGGGCACAAGCTTGAAATATCGTAAGCACCCCGGCGCCGACGCTCGTCCCGAAGCTGTTGGCGACATCATTGGCGCCGATACCGAACGCCAAAACAAACGCCACTATAAAGCCGACCACTACTATCCAGATTAAGTTCTCATCGTATGGTATACTCATCGTTCTCGCTTTTAACTTAAATCTATTCTGCTTGAGCTTTCAATGCGTGTGTTTGTTGCGTGTGTATACTTCTATGCAATTATCCACCTACTACACGTGCGTATCCATCAAAAAATTGATAGGCATAAATTATCATTCTCTCTCGTTTTCTTTCCCTAAACGCTTTCATAACAAATAATGTCAATCGACTAAGGACCTCGTAGCAAGGAAGAGTCTTTTCTGATACAGAACTTTATATCAATACTGTGTGTAAACGCTTATCCATCAGAATATATCCTTTCTATATA